GGCTTGTAGGGAACCAATCTAAACGCCAGTGGTGTCATTATTCTACAGCCATTACACTGTGCAATCAATTATCCAGAAGCCTCCAGTGTTTTTATATTGAGGAACACTGAAGATACCAACAATGTGCTACGTTGTTATGTTACAACGTTTGACACTTGGGGCCGATATTCAAGGTGTTGACAGATGTTTAATGTATATATATATATATATACATAACATGTATATATAGTACCATGTTATGTGTTCAGTATAAGGTTGTAAACATTTAGTATTTATTGTTTAACTTGTAGCATTAATATTTAAACTGTTAGCGTTCCAGTGTGTTATGGTTAGTTTAGGTAAGTTCAAATCAACATGCTAATATCAACCAGTGTTAGGTAAGCTTCATAAAAACTGTGATCAGTTACTCTCTAGCCAACATATTATAATATATATTAAAAAAGTAACTATTATGTTAATTACTCAGCAGCAATAATTCAAAATATAATTAGCTAAATTACTTTACTTTTGGCAGTCAAAGTTGCCTTCAAAAGAGCTATTTGTTTTGCTATTGTTAGCTACATAGCCAGTGTTAGCATTAGCAGCTGTTTATTTACAAGGAAACGTTGCAAGTTCAGCATCAAACTTCATTCATTTACTCTCCCAGCGCTGTCTACAGGGATGGAAAACAAAGCCAATGGTATCTTTTGTCTCTATCGCGTCTTTTCTTCTACTGTAATTAATTTCCCACAGTCCAACGTGATGTCTTCAGATGTCTTTGTTTTGTTTGACCAGCAGTCCAGAACAATCAGTCATGTGCAACAAAGAAAAGCATCAAATCTTCACATTTGGGAAGCTGGAGCCAGTAAATATTTGTCATTTTTCAAAGGACTAAAAATGATTATTCAATTAGCTAAACAGCTGATTGATAATTGCTCGACTAATCGTTGCAGTTCTAGTATGCTAACAGGAGGATGTTTTAACATTTAGTGCGTTGGGAGTCTATGGCTACATTAAAGGATTAAGCAACACAGTACATTACAGTACTGCACAGTGCCGAGACACAACATGCAGCATTAAAGTGCCCGTATGCATTCACACCCACACTAAGAGGCTGTACGAACACTGCAGAGCCAGAGCAGCCGTGTCTCCTCCTGCTCATCTGTGGCCTATGTTAATATGATTAGACTGGATTATGGTAATGTGCAGGGGGATCTGGTGGGTGTGGGGCGATGCTTTGCTGCTCTCGTTTCGGGGAATAGTTAATTGGCTGGGCTGCTTTGATGTTGTGGTGATGAGAGAAGGGGGTTGGTGGGAAAGACTGGCAAAGGCGCCCTACAACTCAAGCCCATTTTATTTTTGGCCTACGAGGGATCTGTGCTGGCAAGTGGTGAAAAGGAATGAAACCTGATGAAACCAATTAGAAATGATGCCGATCTGGAGCTGAAACGCTGCGAATACTGAGACAACAAGTACGAGAGAAACACAAGCCATATTTATATACTCTCCTGCTGAGTGTGGCTTGTTGAGTCAACTGTTGATCTCTGATCTTAATGAGTTTGATTTGTGATGTGTTTAAAGTTCTTTACGTCTAGAACCTGTAATGTTTTCGATTTAGCAATTCATAGGTGTATTTTCTGTTGTTTTGAAAATGTAAAAAAATCAGCTTGTACGTTGGCAGAGCCAGAGCAATGGAAAATATCAGTTTCTTATCGTATCATAACAACATACAAACACCCAGCACTGGACAGTAAACGTCACTAGCTGAGTTTCGTGAAGATTTAAAGTGGTTTAATACAAATAAACAAGCAGCCTTCCACAACTCTAGCTGTGGCTCTAACTTCATTTCAAACAGCTACAGTCAACAAGGTGCAAAATGTTTTACAATTCAGCTTTGATTGCTTTTATCTACAGAGATGCAGCGGGGGGAAAAAAACTGCCTTTATATTCATCTGCACAGGATGGAGAATATTTTAAACATGTTACTCCTCTGGCCTCGCCACAATCAGGGCCAGCACGTGTCCTGCCTGTAGAGGAAAAACACCTGCTGTGATGTCGGCCTGTACAGATAAGTATACATTTGTAATTTACAAATAAATAATATACACCTGGCTCTCGTAAGTAGGCCAGACTTATTTGCAGCTGTGTCCACTACTTGGCCCGCAACATGAACATCAATATTTACATTACATGCTTATACAAAATTTACATGTTTTAGTTAACTGAAGTTAAATGAGTAATTTATTCAACTATTTGTTGCAGCAGCAGCTCAAAGGTGTGAATCTAATGATAAATTAAAAAAAAAATACTTGCAACTTGATATTAAATTTAAGACTCTGGCATCATGTGGAATGAATTGAGATGAAAAACATACTATTAAAACATCATGCAGTGAGTGAGCCGACTCACCGACTGACACACTATGAATAAATCTGACATCAGCCAATCACATCATGCGAGTGGGAGGGAAAGGTGTGTGTGTGTGTGTGTGACAACAGATGACAGCGCATGTGATCACATGCGGATGTAAGGACTCAAAAAACTAAACACGTAGGTCAGAAATTACAAAGGACTGAAATTTGGTCACGGGAGTAAAGCGTTCCTGCAGCGTGATCTTAATGAGTTTAAACACTGTTTTGAAATGGCAATAGATTTTGTGAAGGACACAATGACTTGTGTAGGACATGGATCGGACTTGTTGGTCTTGACTGCGTTGACCCTGATGTGCAAAAACAAAGCATTCCAGAAAAGAGTTTTATGTTCTGGGGATTTCTTTCATGCCGTTTTGTACCTCGTGGGCCACCGTAGACAATATAAGAGCCTTCATGAAATTTGAGATTCTTACAACGCTCAGTTTTCCGTGATTAAAATGGAGTTAGTGTGAATTTGCTCTGAAGGACTGAGGACTTGAGGCTCGACTCTGACATGACCACGGCGACTCAAAGTTGGATTAAAACATTCAGGACGAATCCTGGTCTCGAACACTGGTCACGCTGAAAAGATTAAAAATGAAGACGGAGCTTGATAAGTAAAAATCTTGCAATTTTATTTGCATATAAAGGCAGCTAAATATATCACAATGAACTGAAAGAGAGAACTAACATTTCCATGAAGAGGGATACAATCAGAGCAAGAGCGAGAGAGGAACAGAGCACGAAAAGAGCATTTACAGCGGCAAAGTTGAGACAACTATTGGCAACATTTTTTTTTTTTTTGTGCTAGCAAGATTGCATTTACACACAGTGCAAAATTAGAAAAAAAAAAAAAAAAAAAAAAGCAATTAAACACAAATACTATCAGATTTACACTTTAAAGGACAACTGAACAATGTTTAGGCAGGTGTGTTGTTGGGAACAACCGGCACCTGTTGGATTGTGACTCTGACAAATTTTCCTCTCTCATCCAAAATGAATGTCTACCCTACTGGGAGAGTCGATACAAAAAACATTTAAGAAAACTCTGAAGAGCATCTGATGGGAGCATTAAAGAAACATGTCAATCATACAGGTGCATACAGAAAAAAAAAAAAAAACGCACCAGATTTTCTTTTTTCGTCAAACACAACTTTTAGTACAGATGTTTTACAACATGAATATATAATATATATATATTTTATACATACATTTTCCAAATTAGATCAGAAATCCATAATGGGATGTTACAAAGTTAATTTTTTGGGCTGAAATTTGATAGCTTTCTGTCCCTGCGTTAGTCAGGTGTTGTTTTGCGGGGATGATGGGTAATAAATAAAAGACTTTTCTCTGAGCTCGCAGAGAGTGGGGCTCTAGCTGAGAACATTAAAGCTAGTTTAAGGCAGCGTCCCTGTCAGCCAATAAGAAAAGAGGAACTGACGAGAAAACAAACAAAGAAAAAAGAAAACCTAATCGCAAAATATCAGATGATACAACATAAAACAATGGCATCCATTGTCCGGCCAATGCAAACCAAACATAAAGAAATTGTACAAATTCACAAAGCATCATTTATCTTACAGATCTGACCAATATTTATCAAGAGCAAGATTGTTTAACCACAAAATCCCTCTGAAAAGGAGAATACCGGTGTCATTTTAACATTCCCTCAAAATTCATTTTGCATTGCATGCTGTAGCTACTGAGATTTTAACACTTATTTTTTGTTGTTTTTTTTTTGTTTTTTTTAAATACAAACTTTCTAAATGAACCGCTAACAAAAAAAAAAAACCCCCAACAAAACAAACAAAACAAAAACTCCTAACAAAGACAGGCAGATGTGAAGGTAATAAAGTAGGGAAGGCCAGAGAGGACAAGTGTGAAAATATTCCCCTTGTTTTCCTCTGATCATTAAATAGTCATTTGTTACCACAAAAAAATCAATTTGCGATCACACAATAGTATTTTCCTTTAGTCAAAAAAATTACCGTTTTGTGATTTGAAGAATATTAAATTATTATGATGAAAATAATTTTCACAATCTCTTTTTTTTTTTTTTTTTTTAAGGGATTATTTCCTGGATGAGGTTGAGGTTTCCATTTCTTCCTGTGGCTGTCAGGTGATTGACAGGAAGTGGAGTGTGACATGAGGGAGTGCTGATGAAAAGAAAAGAAAGAAAAGAAAAGCTCAACTCTGCTCGATGAAATCAGGACTAAAACACAAAGTTTCTTCAGGGTTTTTCTCACTTTGTGGGAGTTTTTCAAAAACATTCTTGTTCTTCTGGAGGAAAACAAGCCCTGACATCTGCAGCTGCACTGACTGCATGCAGACAGACAGAAATCTGAGAGGGAAACCAGCATTGTTGGCACAACTTAAAAACAACAAACAAAACAAAACAAAACAAAACACCGATATTCTCCTTTAACCCTCCCAGACAAACTCCCCACACCGCCCCTCTCAAAATCTTCTCAATCTCAACAACAGCTTAGAGAAGACCAAAAGTTTGCAAAGAAACACTTAGAATTTTTTTTTTTTACTTGACATATTTATAGAAAAAAAGTAGTTTATCCTGCCCCCCACCCCCAACCCCCAACCCCCACCCCCCTCGTCTTCTGGTCTCAGGAGCTGGAGGGGTTGGGCAGGTCGAACACGATGGGGGGGTTGGTGGGCTGGAAGCTGACAGTGCAGGTCGACGCGTTGATGAACGTCGTGTAGCCGTCTGTCATGATCCCGTAGCCTGAGGACGGAGGATACAGGCGTCAGCGACAAGCACCGAACTCTCAGTCAAACAGTCAAAAACCACAGTCGCAGGGGAAGGTAGTTACTCATTTGAGCTCAATATACTTGTGTTTGTTCAGTTCAGTGATTCCTACCGTTGACTTTCCATGAATAAATGGCGTTCATTTCATAACCTTCGTTCCATTTTTCTCGTCTCAGCGCTAACTGGTCTGAACAGCCTCGGTTTATTAAAGTTCAAATTTGATTCGGAGCTGAAATACGTGCATATCGTTTAGGTTTCCGACTTCCAAACACAACGTTGTGTCACCTTTGACATCGCTTTAAAGTTTTTATGGACAGGGGAATGTTTAAATGTAAAGACTGTAATGATATTTCATCCACAGACATCCAGTTAATTAAAAGTCAGTTTCAAGGTTATGGAGCTCTTAATAGCTAAAATGTGGATGCAAATTAATTTGACGTAATATATGAAGTGATTTGAAGGTTTGAATGAAAATAAGTTTATTGAGAACATGAATAAGTCATTTGTGGGAATTATCGGTTATTTCTGGAAGGGATTTTCTTATCTGAGAAAACCATTAATCTAAACCTTCATCCCTGAAACAACACAACAACATATTTCCACTTATTCCTTCACTGGTCAAACATCCTTTTTCTACATTTACAGACGAATTAGATGAAGAATGGGGTCCAACTATTAGAAAATCGATTGTGTATATACTCAGATATGTTGGTTGGAAAACAAATTAGATAAACAAGTGACCCTGGATTATACTCTCAGTACCTTCATGTATGCCTCCGAAGGCGTGAAGTTTGGGTCGCACCCTCTTCTGGACCGTGTTGAGCAGCTCCACGCAGCCGACCCGCTGCAGCTCTTTAGGAACCCAGTCTCGGAAACCTACACAGACAGACACGTTAGATGTTTTTAAATTCTCAGTTTCCCAGACTGTCCTGGTTTGGTTCATCAGTTTTATGCCTGACCCATCATGAGCTGGATGTGTAAGAAAATAAATGCTGCTTATGTATGAAGAACAAAATTCTGACCATGTTTTACTTCCTGTAACGAGGCACAATAAAGTTACGCAACTGCAATGAGATCTCTTCGTTATATTTTTACATGCACAATGTCCATATCCTTTTATAGCCGCTTATGTTTTAATGACCGAGTCAAATCTGCTTATTCAGTCTGCTTGTTATGAATTTCTGGCTCCGATTCTTGTCAAATGATTAAAGAAAATAAACAGTTGTTATTGAAAGAAAATATGATCTTTATTTTTTTTTTAAAGCAGATTCTGTCATTTGCAGTTATTTGCCATAAATACAAATAAAATTAATTTCTGATTCTTCACCTGCGTCAGCACACGCTCAGTCAGCTTGGACTTCCTCCTCTGCATGAAACTACCTGTGTGTCATGATTATATTTTGCTGCGTCACTACTGACTCTGGTGAAGCTTGTGTGAACTCCTGAGCTCTTACTGTGGCACAGTTTGGTGCAGCACAGAAGAAACATCAATAAAGCTTTATTTTCTCAACCTAAAATTCCTGGTTCTTATATATGTATGTAAATATTATATATATATATATATGCAGCTGTGTTGAGTTCAGAACCAGCTCTTGATACTTGACCCTGTAAATAAGTGAAAACCTCACAACAGTAAACTAAACACACTGTGGCAGATGAAACCCGTTCTTATATTTCTTCCACAGTTGTGCAGCACTGATTTCTTTCCATTTTGTGTCTTCCAGTTTTACTGCCCGCCCCCCTCCCCCAGCGCTGTTCTCCTTTCCCATGGTCTCTCTCCAGTCGTTTGCAGCGTCTGTCACTCTGCTGCAAAATCGAGTTTCCATGCAATCAAACGGCCACAGTGGCTGCCGCAGCAGCAACAGCAGCAGCAACTCTCCGTAGGCGAGAGGGAAGGAAATCACTCAATAAAGCCAGATGGAGAGCGGAAAGAAAGAAAGAAAAAAAAACCCCAAAAAACAAAATGGGAAAAAACAACCGGAGCCCAAACAGCTAGAAGTAAAACTGAATCAGTCTGTACTGGGGAAAAAACTGAAACCAAACAATATGTATTATCTTTTTCATAAAGTCAAACACAAATATTCACCCATGGACTGTGTTCAGGGTGTTGCAGAGTTGACACACACACACACACACACACACACACACACACACACACACACACACACACACGGCCTGCTGCGACGCCTCCAGTGACTTCATACAGATTTTGAATAATGAGGCACAACCTCATTAGATATGGTGATGGGGGGGAGACTGTGATTGGTTAATTGGACTCACCGAGCGGAGGTCCGTGGGTCATCAGGATGTCGATGCCTTCAGGGACGAGGTTCCATTTATCCAGCAGAGACTGACCCCGAGGCAGGTTGAACCCCCAGCCGTTAAACCACGGAGTCCTGCAGAGACAGAGGGAGAGAGATCACATTAACATCGCTCAGGAGAACAACTCCACCGTGATTATGGCATGAAACATAATTGGTATCAGGAAGCAATGCATATTACTTTTCTTCAGCAAAACGTGCAGCGACACGATAGTCTTGTTTTAATGCTATTCACTTAACATATTTACATTATACATTCATAGCTTCATCCATAATCTATATTTTAAGCCAAATAACCCTGAACAAAAACAAAGTGTTCACGTAACAGACAGTGATGCATGTTTAGGAACTAACAGGGTTTTATAAGCTTTGTAAAATATTAAATTAAAAAGCTGTGCAAACACAAAGCGCTGCGAGCCATCGTAAAGCAGGTTCACACAACGTTAACAATGCAGACTGAACGCTTGCACACAGATCTATGTGGAGAAATTAAAGTGTGATCACGTGTTCAGGGTTTTAAAGCCGCATTAAGTGATTTATTTGGCCACTTGGGGGAAACACAACCAGCTGTAAACACAAGCTTTATATATTTTCACCTTATAAAAGTCGCTTTAGTCGCCTATTTACACAAACAACAGATACGTAGCAACATTAGCATTCATTTATCAAAGCTTTTTAGCTTAAATCAGCGAGACTGCTGGGTGATAAACATAGCTAATATTCAAATATTGATTGTGGCAGCTCTGAGGCTGTGAAGGCCCCGGTGTGGTGGAAAAGCAAAAGCAAAATAATTCACAGGGAAAAACAATCACAATGTGCAAATTAATTGTCCCCACATGGTAAAAAAAATGATAATCACAAATATTTTATTCTGTTGCAGTGGAAATTGAGCAAAACATAGAAACTTAATTCAAATGCACAAAGCTTTTTTTTTTTTTTTTATCTTTTTGAGCTTAATAAACATGAAACCTGGAGTAATGACGATGACACAACAGGACGCAGAAAAATTTGAATACAAGTGAAGTATACAGTATAATATTACACGTGCAGGTTACCAACTGTATGTAGTGAAAATGCACGAGACGGTTTACACTTGGACGGACGGGTGAGACTGTTCACTCGTAAACAGGGAGCGCTTGGTTTGATGCACCAGAGCAGGTGTCGTAAATTTAAAGAGTCACAATCAAGTTGGAGTCATTTTACAAGAAAAAAAACTATACGACTGACTGAGGGGTTTCTACTAGAAATGAGAAAGAAAAAAAAAAAAAAAAAAAAAAAAAAGTGAATTTCTAAAGAGCAGGGAGCCACATCATGCGTCAACCCCCCCCCAACCCCTCTGCTACCCAGTTACAGATTGATTGACAGCAGCCGGGCCACCTCCAGCAGCCTGGATGGGAGTCTGCAGCTCCAGGGTGACAGGCAGCATCTCAGCCTCCCCCAGCAGACACAAAGAAAGCCTCGATCTGGCTGAGTGGGAATGAGGGATGGATGGATGGGTGGATGCAGGGGGGGTGAAACCAGATGAAGAAATAAAGCGAACTGTGCAGAGGTTAGATGTAGGAGTGTGGGCGGGGAAAGAGAGGGGAGAAAAAGAAATCGAGCAGAGGCTGGTTGATAAATTGAGCCTTCATTTATCACAATAGTGGTAATGGCAGAAGAAGGCTGACAACAGAGGAAAGGAAGATAGATTATCATCACATAATACCTCAGTATATAAGCTGACCTACTGCTACACCCCCAGAAAAAAAACCTTTTCATTTTATTTCGAGGTTTGCAGCACAGAAGCAGCAGGGAGTCGCTGATGAAAAGATGGTTCTGGCTCCGTTATTCCCAGGTTACTTTGGGACCGGCCGCCGAGTTCAGAGCCGCTCACAGTCACTTAGCGATGGAGCTGCGTATGGTATTTGACCGAGGGGAAATCAGGGCTCCACAAACATCAATAGGCTTTGTTACAGTGAAGGATGGACGCTCCGGCACTAATCAATACTTACTGTTCCAGAGGAGGGCCAAGTGGGGCTAACCAGACTCAAGATGTGTAAAACATGAGATCACAATCCCTCCTGGTTCATTTTAAAAACACAACCGAGCTGCTAAAGTCTCTCTGCTGAAAATAAGACACACACACACACACACAAAAAAAAAACCTCATTAATTCAGCGTGGCAAGAGAAAAGAGCATTATAATGCAGCCTAAGCACCGGCTCAGCCCGTTTGGGTCTGGTGGTTGAAGAGTATCGAGTGTTTGTGCCCTCGGATAAAAAGGCGGCGGCGGCGGCGGACCTGGAGCTCGCTCTTTGATTTGCTCGGTCAGTCGTCGCCTCGTTCTCTCGCTCGGTGGAGAGCTGAGAAATGAGGTTAAAAATGAAATGTGAGGCGCGCGCAGGGGAGTGAAGGCCACAGACTGAACTGATTAATTAGAACTAATCACACAAATCGAAGCTAATGGAAGTCTAATGGATTACTGGGAAGACTCGCCACTTCTCAGATGGAAATAGCGCCACTGCTGCTGCGGCTGTGGAGAAACTTAGAAAGCAGTGAATCAGAGCTGAGCTGGCCGGGTCGGCCGGCTGCACACACAGAGAGCACCGGCAGGGTATTTGTCTGGCTCTGGTTTTGACTAATAGCGACAAGGCCAAACTTTGAAAAATGGCCGAACACATTTACCCCCCCCCCCCATTCAGAAAATAAATCGTGGTTTCTTGCAGCAAAAATAAATAAACAGCTGCAACGCTGATTTTGCTCCGTGTTTCACATGTTTTCACACACATAAACACATTCATCTGGGAGATGAAACATAACCCCTGACATGAGCTGTGGATCCGGAGCCAAGCAAAAGGTCCTGACTGAATGCGGAGCGAGGCGCTGCAGCTCGACGCCACAATGGCCCCATTGTCGGCCGTCTGCCTATGAAATATACCTTCCATGCAAGTGCATTTGTAAACCTCCGCCAAGATTAATGACATCCCGGTCACATAAAGGAGAGATTGTTTCCTGTGTGGCTGTGACACAGGTTTTATTATACTGTACTGCTGAGTGTGTGTGTGTGTGTGTGTGTGTGTGTGTGTGTGTGTGTGTGTGTGTGTGAGTGTGTCAGGTTCACCAGCTTCTGAGTAGGATGTGAGTATTGAACAGAATGTACGCTGCGCCAGTGTCTCGGTCTGTTCTCAGAGTGTATGTATATGTGGACCAGTGTGTGTGTGTGTGTTTGTGTATGTGTGTGTGTGTTTGTGTTTGTGCGTGTGGGTGTGTGTGTGTTTGTGTGTGTGTGTGTGTGTTGTGATCAGACTACATTCAGAGCCCAGTCTTGCCTTGACACTCGCCATCTGGAGCATGTCGCCGTGGCAACAAAGGACTAGCGTCTGGAGGCAGGCACACTGGGAAGTATAACACCAACACAGAAATAGAAAAGAAGAGAAGCAGGGAAGTGATGAGAGAAAAAAAAGAGAGAGAGAGGAGGAGGAGGAGGAGGAATGCAGAAGATGAAGCAGAAACTTCTCCCTCCAGATGTGATGTGTGTGTGTGGTACAGCTGTGTGCCGCTGCCTCCAGGAAAGGAAGCACTTAAGTTCAGGAGGGACATCATCAAACCTCGCCGCAGCCAACAAGAAAACTTACTGAAGAGGCAACTACAGCAGACACCTTCTTAAACTCAAACACCAGCTCCAAACAACCACACACAAAAGGAGGAAAAAGCCAGTAACCATGGTAACAAGGGGCATTTAAGGGCCCCCCCCCCCCCGCTCTGGGAATCAAACGGGGGAAACAGGTTAAAAATCTGCAACCGGGGCCGGCAGCGGAGGTGAAGCAGACAGAAGCCATTTAGCCCGCGTGTGCAGAACGTCAATATCCAATTAGGCCGGTGGACATCATTAGGACGGCGGCGCGGCGTCTCTCTGGACGTGACACTGCTCTTAACCCCTCTGCTCCCCCGAGCTGCTCTCTCTGGGTCCCTAGACAGGCTATGATATCTCCCTAATACCACACACACACACACACACACACACACACACACACACACACACACACACACACACACACACACACACACACACAACGCTTCATTCCTCTCATTACGCCTTTTAATCGGACTCCTCCCTCACTTAGTGGATCATTGTGACCATTTTTTTTACAGCTCAGTGGATCAGCTGTTTAAAGGCAAAGCTTCTCTGACATTTCTGTGTCAACGACCCCGAAATTATTTTGGTATCTCACCGGGGCTGGGGCGATATCATACTGATTTAATCAAACTGTGTTAAGTGTTTTACCAAATTCTGGTGTTGAAATTGTGATTAAAAACAATACAGCTGAAACATTCAGTCCATTATTTGATCAACAGAAAATAAACGGCAACTTTTCTGACAATTTCTAACCATTGAAAGTTACTTACTGAAACTTTTGAAAGCTCAATTGCCAAAGTTTCCCTCGTTTCACTGGATAAGTGTTGGTTGGACAAAACAAGATGTTTGAACCCTAGAAACAGATATTTATCACAATATTCTTTTATAGATCAGGTAGGTTAATCAATAATCAACATAACCGCAGCCCTGTATTGTTTATATTCATGACTTCAACCAAACTGTAATGAAAACCGACTTTAAATTAAAACAAAATGAGCTGTTCAAATTCATAAGAAAAAAATATGTATAAAAAAATATTATATAATAAAAACATATAATAATTGTTGATCTAGATTTGGTCAAATTTTGGCTTATCAGTTTCAACCACACACTTCTCCGCGGGGTTTTTATGACACCAAATTTCCAGCAGCACGTGGGCAGATCCATGCTGCATTTCGCTAAACACAGTCTCGTCTTACACCTGGCACTTACATAACCCCCGTTGGCTTGATTAATATGTATGTGCTGCATCTTTGGCATTCGTGGACCGTTTGATTCAGTGTCGTCTACTCTTGGACATTTTGTTCCTCAGATATTTTTCTCATAAATTAAATAAGTGATGATCTTAAACTGGGAGTCAACAGTTCCACGTTTCTCTGTTTATTCAGTGTTTGGCACCAGAAAGGTTTTTTTTTTTTTTTTTCCTTTCTCATTCTGCTTAAACTCAAGTCAACCTTCTT